AAAAAAACAACCTGCAAATAGATCCAAACTTACAACTGGCTCCCTCAAAATCTTTCCAAATAAGTGTATTAATTAAAGGGCTACGGATGAGGCTCATAGTAGAATGCTGGCCTATGATGCTCGAAGCTCAGCACTGGGAGAGAAGGGGTACTGCTAAGATGCCAAGAGAGAGAAGTAGTGAATCAATGTTAACATTTATACAGTTAAAAGTTCCTCCATTAATTTTCTGGATACATTATTCTTTATCAATGAAGTTAGAAATCCCCCTTATAAACTCTTTAATTGGAAAATGTTGTGCTCTTGGGAGCTTTGGAGCAGGACTGAGCTCCTGCCAGTGCTCTGTTGTTACCTGAGGGGCAGAAGGTTCTCCTTTTTGAGAACCTGAGAGAGCATAAAGATGCTATCATTACCCTCAACCACTTTTCTAAAGTAATTTGTCTTCAGTGGTATTCCATAGCACTCAATACTAAATAAACTCACTGATAAGTAATTTCTGATTTACAAACAAAATAAGCTGCTCATCTCTCATTATAGAGCTTTCTCTTTATACTAATCTGATTTAGGAAAAAATAAGTGACCAAAGAAGAGCTTTAAAACAGAAGCAAAACAATCCATAAGAAACAAATGTTTTAAGGCTTTTCAAATTTCCTATCAGCTTATTAAAGTTCATTAATCTGCAGTATTAATATGTTCAATCTCTAATTTTAGGTCATTATTACAAACAAACAAAAACCTTAAAATGGAGCATAAGGCCAAACTCAAATTAGAGATGTCTGTGTGTTTATGTATGTGTGGGGATACTACCAGGGACAAAACCCAGAGGTGCTCTCCCACTCAGCCATACCACTTTTCCTGTTGTTGTTTTGAGACCATGTTACTAACTTGCAGAGGCTAATCTCAAACTTGTGATCCTCCTGTCTTAGCCTCCAGAGTCACTTGGATTACAGATGTGTGCTGGCATACCCAGCTCAAATCTTTAATCAGTAACACAACCCAAGTAGAGCTTTAGAAATTCAATTATCATCTGTGGAAATGACTTGTGTACTGTCATTAGCTCTAAGMAATCTTGTGGCAAATTGGTTCCCAAGAGTATGTTTTTTTTAACTATGTAATGAGGGTATTATAATCTAAAAGCCTAACTTCAAGCCCCATTCTACCCTGAGTATACCCACTAGGGTTAAATTTCATAAAGGTTTTGCTGCC